GATGGGACAGCCCGATATATCACGACACTAATGAGACACGGCATCGAAATACCCCATGAGACTAGATCATATATAGCAAACAATCATAGTATATTATATCCCTCGCTCACAAGTGTTTCAAGTCCCTAGTTGTAGTAGTTCTTCACCACGTGGGAGGTGTCAGTGAGTAGGCGGTCGGGCCGTCGTAGCCCCGGGAACGAAACCGCCCAGTTGACTGACCAGAACCACCCTCCGCATCCCTCATTCCAATCCACGATATGCCCTCCAACTTCATCTGAGTATCCCTCTCTGATTCTGTCCAACTCTCCCGCAGTCATGGATGTAGCCTACGACCACATCCAGGAGGAGATCTTCTCCTCCAACGACCCCGCCAAGAAAGAAAACAACAGCAAGAACAATAACAACCCCTCCGATGCACCCGCCACCAACTCAGACCGCCCCAACGTCGACCTTAACGCCGAACTGCAGGAAACCTTCCGCGCTTTCTCCGCAAGCCCCTGGGGTGCACGCATCGGTGGACTCTGGGACAATGTCCGCAAACAAGGCGAAAGCTACTACGAAGGCGCTCGCCAGGAATACGCCGCCGCCAGCGAGGAAGCCGCCAAGGGGTTCTCGGATCTGAAGAGTAGTATCGTCGGGCGCACGCGGGGGTTGTCCCTGAGCACGGCTTTCAACAATAACATCATCGGCGCTGGCACCAGTACTACAACTGAGCAGGAGACGGATACATCGTCATCTACGCCTAAGAATGAGACCGGAGATAAGGAGAAGGCTGGACCTTCTGCCAGCTCGGATAACAATAATGAGGGGTTCCTCTCGCGGTTCAAGGCCGAGGCCGCCCGCCGACTCAAAGAGATCGAGAAGGCTGAGGAAGCAGCCGACGAAGCTATCCTGCGCTTTGGGATGAACATCGGACAGAAGTTGAAGGATGCGGTCAGCATTGTGCCGCCGTCTACGGACTCGTCGTCGGACAAGCTTCTATTTGAGAGTAAGGATGCAGATGGGAAGCGGGTTATTCATGCTACGCGGTTCGAGGCGCAGCTTCATGTCATTCATTCGAACTTGGAGAGTTTCTCGAAAGATCCTGTGAGTGAGGAGTGGCCTACTTTCAAGCAGTCTTTCAACGTGGACAATAAGACGGATGCTATTGCCGCCGACTTGGAGAAGTATCCGGAGCTGCGCTCCGCTATGGAGAAGCTTGTCCCGGAGAAGGTGGAATACGCGGTCTTCTGGTGTCGTTACTACTTCTTGCGTTTGGTTATTGAGACCGAGGAGCAGAAGCGGAAGGAGCTTCTCAAGGGTATGCTTTTCTCTTTTTCCTCATCTCCCCTCTACCGTATATATACCATGGCTCTTATCTCTAACTTGCCTTATAGATGTCAACGTCGACGAGGAAGAAGTCAAGTGGGACGATGATTCCGATGACGACACCGACTCTCCCTCTACGCCTCAAGTCCAGCAATCTACCGCAACCGCCAAGGCTACCACTGCCACCCCTACTGCCACTGCTACCGAGAAGGATACCCTAAAGCCCACGGAACCCCGCCGGTCCAACGACCAACAGTCCCAGCCCGACAGCGAATCCAGCTACGACCTTGTCAGCGGTGCGACCAGCCGCACTCCTGCCAGCCCCAAGGAGAAGGCCAAGGATGAGGAAAGCGATGACGACTGGGAGTAAATGATGGGATGATTGCTTGGAGTTAATAAGCACAAATTTTGACTGCGTCGTATAGTTGCTAGAGATTCTCTAAATTATTGACTGACCACTGGCTGGTCCGAAAGAGAGAAAGGATTCCCTGTTTCCCTTACATATGAGTTGATCGCGGTGCGAGGAGTTGCGGTGTCGTTTGTTTGATATCTTCAGGCGTTAGGATTGCCACTCTGTTCCTTTCTTCTTTTCTAGTATCGTCGTTCGTTCCGCCTTTTCCATCCCCCCTACGCGATACGTTCTTGGTATTAGCAGTTGCGTGTTACCTTGGCTTTCTTGTTATTTTCTTCCCTGACAGTGCCAAATACGCCGACCTCCCCCTTTTTCTCTATTGGTATATGGTGCAAGCGTTCCTGAAAGATATTCCTGTTTTGGGACTAGATTTCAGAACGTGTAATCTATTGATATGCAAGTCTATTCACAAAGAGTATTCATAATGTTCCCATGTATAAACCCTTTTTATCGCATCGGTATCGTAGTCGTAACTTTCGTCATTTGCTTGATCTTGATATTGATATTCATATCGATAATGTGATTAAACGCACCTATCCTTCCGACGGGCCATCAGCATCAGCATTAACCCCTTCCACGACAGGACCCGGCGTGGACTTCCTAGAAAGAGGAGATCCTCCCCTCGACCTCTCACTCGCAAGAACAGCCGACGACGGTCCTCCGCGCCGAGCTCCACGGGACTTCGGATCCGATGACTGTACGGAAGCGGAGCGTCCGCACCGTAGCGGTGTCTCGGGAGTGTTCTCTCGGGACCGTAGATGGAATCCTCTGGTTCTACTATCACCAGGCGAGTAGGGCATTTCGCTTGTCTCGCGCGAGAATCGGAGAGGAGTACCCTCTGAAGTCCATGCGTATTGATAGTCCTCGCCTCTTCGTTTGACGGGGCTCTCGTCATACGGATCCCAGCCGACTCTGCGTCTTGCGTCAGCGCGGAGCCGTTGGCGGTGTTGCTCGTCGCCTCCGGCGCCGGTGGTTGAGGATTCCTCGAGGAAGAAGTTGAGAAGCTCGTCGCTGATGGATAGGTGGGATTGTTGCTGGAATTGTTGGAGGGAGGTGAGGCGGAGGAGGGTCTCCAGGAGGGATAGAGATGTGCGGATGTTGTTAAAATGGGGGTTTGAGACGGTGGCTGTGGATATGCGCTGCGTTGAAGAAGGGGTGCTGCGGCGAGATGGCGTGGCTGTGTTGTCGTGGAGAGAAAGCTTCGCCATCCTTTCGGGGTCGATGGATCCTGCTCTGGATGGTGAGGTGCGGTCCTCTTCTGCTTCGGATTCGGAGTCGGATGATTCTTCTTCGTTGTAAACTTCGAATGCAATCCATTCGGGGTCGAGGTCTTTGGGGAGTCGCCATTCCTCGGGGATGGAGCTTTTATGGAAACTAGGTAGTCCGGGGTTGGCGTTTGCCTCGTTGAGTTGGGCGTCTAGCTGCGCTTGAATCTCGTCGATTTCCTCCTCGTCGTCCTCTTGGGGATCCTCGGGGGCGTAGCCGGACAATGTTTCGTCCCGTTCGACCATGCGGCGGGGTGGGATGGCATTGATGTCTCTCTTCAGGAGGAGAACGGGGTTGTTGGTCTCTCCCTCGGTGTTTATGTTTAAGATCTTGCCGGTGTCTGCATAGAAGATCTTGGAAATCTCGTGGATTGGAAGAATTTCGCGTAGTCCTGCGGTGCTGACACCTTCGTAGCTGTGAGGTTGCGGTTCACTTTCGTCAAATGAATGGACTCTGCCATCATCCAAATCTTCGATAATCAACACCTGGTAGGCAAATTCGTCCATCCTTGCCTCGGCAGGAAGTTTGAAATGTGGTGTCTCGGACTGGGGCACTGCAGCTAGGTCCATAGGCACCCTGCGGAGCTTCAAACGCGCCTTGTGCATAACTTCCTTCCAGGTTGCTTCGCGGATACCTTCTTCATCATGCGGCCGAAGGTGACTGGAAAAGAGCATGTACATAGACAGAGTGAATGTAGGGCCAATTTGGACCGCTTGAGACGGGTACATAGAGTATTGCGTATCGCCAGCAGTCAGGAAGGTGCTTGCCTGCAGCAGTCGGGATGGAGACACACTCGATGGCAGGTTTGTTGATAGCTTAGCACCCGACGTCGTGATAGCCAAATTCATCAGCGGTACTGCATCCTCGATACGAACAAGAAGTCTTTTGATATCTTTGATGATAAGCTTGATTTCTGCCTTGTGCTGGGAACGGTCTCTTTTGGGATTTGCTCCTCTGAGGTACAGTTCTTCCGATGCAGCAGTCTTTGCTAGCCGCTGTCCGAGGGACTGGATATCCCAGCGAAGAGATTTTGTGAGAAACACAGCTGACTCTAGTGACGTGTTGCCTCTTGCAGCACTAGAAGCTGTTAGATTTCAGACATTGTGGGGTCACTCTATAACCGACTTCACTTACATGAGTTCAATCATATCAATGGCAGGTGAAATAACCTGTATCTTGCTTTCCAGACGGTGCTGGAGCGTGAGTAGCTCTTCCCTCTCTTCACCATCGTCAACGTTCTGAAGGATTGAAGCGCATATGGTCAGCTATGATCTTCTGCGAAATTCCGTAGAAGCAGGCCAATCTTGACTTACTTTGAGTAAGCGAGACGATTGACTGATGGCATATTTGGCAGTGATAGCTATGCCTGAGCTAATAACAGAATTAGCAAATGCTGTAACAGATAAAGCAGGTAATATAGAGGAGCTGATCCTTACCGAATGGCATAGTTCATCGCCTGCTGCGTGAGCTAATGCACGATTAGACTCAGGACATTAAGAATGGGGCTATAAGCACGAACACACCCTCGTAAGAAAAGCATCCATTTTGCTCGAAGTCAGGCTTCCCCCACTATCTTTTCAGGATGAATTTGCCGGAGGGGAGTGTACCCAGCAGAATAGGGAATGTTGTCTGCTGGTGGGATCTAGTAATAGTAGTGATCTGTAGCGCCCCTGAGGCGGTTTGCAGAGCTTATCGATAACGGGCCACCCACTGTGGCTGCCACCAGCAACGGGGTTCCCAACATATAGATAAAAAAGGGCGTAATTAAGCAGACCTTCCACACTTTTCTCTCTCACACACGACCCGTTTCAGACCCGCGAGGTCATTATTGGAGTCATTCTTCGCAGCGGAGAAACAGTACGAGACAAACAATGCAAAACACAACACGTGCTGGTTCCTTGACGCGCCAGACGCCACAGCCGCGGGGGCGGGGAGGCGCAGCTGAGTCAGCGGTGTGCAAAATCAACTCAAAGGCGGACAAGAGAAAATGAGAGCCTCCGCAAAGAAAAACGCCCCTCACTTGTCGCTGCGTTGCTCTCTGCCTTTTCATTGTTCGCTCTCCTCTTCTTCTTCTTCCTCCTCCCCCCCCACCTTCTTATTCTTCTTCTTTTAGACCAGTCCCTTTTTTATATACCGGGGACTTTGCTTGGTGTTTGTCTTGTTGTCGTTCTCTTAGCGTCTTCCCCACATACACCATGGCCGACCAGACCCCCGATTCCTGGGAGGATGAGCTCTCCAGACAGACTGAGGGCGTTCGTTTGAACCCCAACGCACAAGGTCGCCCTCAGCCCCAGGCTCCTTCTTTCCACCCTGGTGCTGCCACTTTCACCCCCGGTGCTGCTTCCTTCGTTCCTGGACAGACCTACCAGCCCTACGGTGGCGGTTACCCGCAGTATGGCCAGTACGGCCAGCAGGCCTACGGTGGATACCCTTATGACCAGCAACAGCAGGCCTATGCTCAATACGGCGCCTACGCTCAACAACCTGGTGGCTTTAACAACAACCAGGTCTACAACCAGCAATACGGTGGTTACCAGCAGCAGCAGCAGCCCCGTCAAGCTGCTGCCGCCCCCGCTGCCGCCCAGCCCGCTCAACCCGCCCCGAAGCCCGCCGCATCCAACAACGCTGCTCCCCCCAAGGCTAAGGTCCTGTCTATTGGCGGTGCCAGCAACTCCCCCGCCGCTCCCAAGACCAAGGTTCTTTCCATCGGCACCCCCTCCCCCGCCCCCACCTCGAGCACGCCTTCTTCGACCTCCGGTGCCGCTACTCCTGGAGATACCAAGGGTGCTGCCGCTGTTGAGGCGGCCGCTAAGGTGACGGCTTCCAAGGCTATCGAGAAGACTGAGAAGAAGGCCGATGCGAAGGCTGCCGCCAGCGGCAAGTCGTCCCCTACCCCCTCGGGTCGCTCTAGCCCTGGAAGATCCAGTCCTGCTCGCGGCGAGGCTGCCAAGGCTGCTCGTAACGCCGACGCTGTCGCCATGGAGCAACAAGCCGATGTCGATGAGGCTACTCTGAAGGAAATCTATGGTGAGAAGAAGGAGCACGTCAACATTGTCTTCATCGGTCACGTCGATGCCGGAAAGTCTACCCTGGGTGGATCCATCCTTTACGTGACCGGTATGGTGGACGAGCGTACCTTGGAGAAGTACAAGAGGGACGCCAAGGAGGCTGGTCGTGAGACCTGGTACCTCTCTTGGGCCCTGGATCTGACCAACGAGGAACGTGCCAAGGGTAAGACTGTTGAGGTTGGCCGTGCTCACTTCCAGCTTCCCGTCAAGGCCGCCGACGGCAGCACCATCACGAGACACTTCTCCATTTTGGATGCTCCCGGTCACAAGTCTTACGTCCACCACATGATTGGTGGTGCTTCTCAGGCCGATGTCGGTGTCCTCGTTATTTCCGCGCGTAAGGGTGAATACGAAACCGGTTTCGAAAAGGGTGGTCAGACTCGTGAGCACGCCCTGCTTGCACGAAACACCGGTGTGAAGACCCTGATCGTCGCTGTCAACAAGATGGACGACCCTACCGTTGAGTGGAGCAAGGCTCGTTTCGACGAATGTACCGTCAAGGTGGGCAAGTTCTTGGAGAACCTCGGCTACAAGAAGAGCGATCTCTTCTTCATGCCCATCTCTGCCCAGAGGACCACGGGTATCAAGGACCGCGTCCCCACGGACCTTGCTCCCTGGTATGGCGGCCCGTCCCTTTTGGAGTTCCTGTCGGACATGAAGGTGCCCGAGCGTAAGATCAACGCACCTTTCATGATGCCCATCAGTGCCAAGTACCGTGACATGGGTACCATGGTCGAGGGTCGCATTGAGTCTGGTGTGCTTAAGAAGAACGGCAGCTGCATCATGATGCCCAACCGCACCAAGGTCGAAATTGCTGCGCTCTATGGTGAAACTGAGGACGAAATCTCCACCGGTACCTGCGGTGACCAGGTCCGTCTTCGTCTCCGTGGTGTGGAAGAGGAAGATATCCTGCCCGGATTCGTGCTCTGCTCTCCCAAGCGTCTGGTGAACTGTGTCAAGACTTTCGAGGCCAAGATCAGAATTCTTGACCTGAAGAGCATTCTCACGGCTGGTTACAACTGCGTGATGCACGTGCACTCTGCTGTCGAAGAAGTTACTGTTGCGGCACTGCTGCACAAGTGCGAGCCCGGCACTGGACGTCGCAGCAAGCGTCCCCCTCCTTTCGCTGCCAAGGGCCAGACCATCATTGCTCGTATCGAGGTGACGAGCACTGCTGGTGCCGTTTGTGTCGAGCGCTTCGAGGACTACAACCAGATGGGTCGGTTCACTCTGCGTGATCAGGTAAGCAGTCATTATCAAAATACCATTCATATAACAATGCTAATATACAAAACCAGGGTCAAACTGTTGCCATTGGTATGATTACCAAGCTCATCTCTGCCGAAGAGGCGGCGGCGACACAGGCGTAAAGTGTGAATGTCTTTTCATTATAAATAGCAGTCCCTACGGTGGTCAACGGCGATGTCTAACGAGCTACGACTGTCGACCGGGAGGAATGGGCGGGAAAAGGCTCGGTGATGATATCCCAATAGCAGCCTGGTTTGGTTGTTGCTGATGATGATGAATTTTGATGTTCCGTTTTATTTTTTTTTTTTTTTTTGCTCCTCTGCTCCTTTCCTATAGATTTTGCATTCCCTTGCTTGTTGGTTTTGCAATAAAATTTTCATTGCTATCATTTCACGCATTCTACTGCTTTTCATGATTTGGATAGTCAAAAGGATTCACTGCGCGCTTGAATCACACAGCTGTAGCATAGACAAACAGCCAGAATACATGAAACAGGGCGTCTATTCTATGGGGAATCAACCAGCACCAGCACCAACAAACAACTTTTAACAATACCAATAAAGAACAAACATTCCCATCGTAAAAAGAAGATGAAAGAAGATAAAAAAAAGAAATTTACCTCCTCTTCTTCGAAACAACAGTCATAAACCCATCCTCATCCACCTCAGGCTCAACCTTCTCCCTCGGCGCCCTCACCAGCGCCGGCGCCGGCGCATCATCCATCTCCATATCCTCATCCTCATCCTCCTCACTATCATCATCATCCTCCTGATCCTCGCCCCTCTTGAATCCCTCAATTCCCGAAGCACCCTTCTTACTCTGCCACTTCTCCCACATCTCCTGAATAGCCCCGAACTCGCCCTTCTCCGTCTGCCCCTTCATCTCCATAATCTGCACGGCAACCATGCCCGCGCTCTCATCATCCACCACGACATCGAACTCATCGTTCATCACCTGAATAAGCACGTCCTCGAGATCCTCGGCATCCGTTTCGGGTCGCTCCTGGATCATCTCCGAAATGGCGCCGCAGAGCCAGTCGCGCTTGTCGGAGGAGGTCGGACCGCCCCAGTTGGATTGCACGGCCAATGTGAGGGCTGGCCAGGCATTGATCGCGAGGGTTATCCCCAGGTCGAGGTATTGGGTTGCTGTTTGGGGGGGTTGTTGGGTGGCCATTTTGGTTGTGATATGGTGGGGCGGGGTCGGAGGTGGGTGTGGTGGTGGTTGTGTGGTTGGTGGGGAGGAATTGGACGGATTTGTTATTAATGGATTTGTTGGGAGTTGTTTCTCGTTAGACGTATGTGTAGATTGAGGTGATATTTATGTTGGAAGGAAGGGAGATTGCTGGTGGTGCTGGTCTGCGCCTGAAATTTTTTTGGATTTGGATGATGGTGGTTATCGGGGTGTTGATTAGATAGATAAGAGGTCATGTGATTGTGTGTTTCTATGGGGGGGGAAATTGGACTGATTGATTGATGAATTGCAAGGTACTTGGTTGTTGGGGACCTTGTAGGTTTGGTCTACATGGATTGATTGAGAATGTATATCTGGATATTGAGGACAACGCGGATATGGGATAGAATCAATGATTCCTATTTAGTGGTGCTTGTTCTTGGTTGATTTAAAGCGGAAGATGATGTGGTAGATGGAAGGGGAAAAAAAACAAAAAGAAATGTTTGAGCTCCGATAGGGGGAATCGAACCCCCGGCTGCCGTGTGAGAGACGGCGATGTTAGCCACTACACCATATCGGATTCTTGTTGAAGACAGCACGTTTATTTGCGTAAATATCACTTAGCCATTAGGCCCAAAGCCTTGTGTGATAGGTAGCGAAGGTATGAAGGCACAATTGATGGATACATTTATATGTTGTTGTTGAATATTGTTGAAATAATTGCATAGCACTCTAGCGAGTAATGCACTATCTTCATACACAGCAGTATATTTGGTGGGGTTTGGTTCTGTAAGGGCTATACTATACCCGCATGATGGGGCTTGTGTTCACGAAAAATAGGGACTCGAGATGCGTGGTGTTGGGCATATGGGTTATTGGCCTATTTAAATGTGTATGTAGATGCTATCGGGGATCTTGTCGATATGGATGCATGTACTCGCCCTAGTGGTCATGACTCAGGACGTGCAATTATCATGATCCTACTACCACCCGAGCTGAAATATATATCGGCACCGGGGAGCAGTTCGAACCGGAACAATTCCAGAGGGTGAACTAAGATCATACAGTTGAATTGACCCAATATCTCAATAATATAGCACATTGCCATATGGTATTACATTGCTAGATATCGCCATAAATATGTAAAGATGCATGCCCCGGCCTCTATTCCAAACCATACTCAACATTCCCGCCCGGTCCAAATCCAAAACAAACCTGCGTAGTGGTATAACCTATTCTGCTTGAGAAAAATGACAAACTATGTACATAAGTGAAGAGAAATCGGGTAGAACACATGAAGCAAGAAGCCAGCCGTGTTCCCCTAAACGCCACATGATCGCTCGACCCGCAGACATGGTATAATGCCAACAACATGAAAAGAAAAGATCACAATGCATAGCTGAGAAGAGTCTGGGCTTTGATTGCCGTAGCCACATGCCACGGTAATGTGCCTTGCTGCACAGTGCGCGTACCCCTGGCTCTGGCCAGGGTTGCCAGGTCACGATACATACCCAGAATCTCCCGCAGGAGAGTATCATATGAAGACGGGGAACGCCGTGCAAAGAGTAAATTGACACTCATAGTATATAGGCCATCTCCATCAGTAGAGCCCTTCCTGCGAAGAAGGTACCCGCTTGCCATTGCGGGGCGATACTCCGTCTGATGCAGAGAGCTGTTGAGACGATGCGATAACACTACCCCCCATGTCTCATCGTAGATATCCGTGAGAAGGGACTCGGATTCAACCTCTGGGAGCGCATCCGTTGGGGTGGAGGCATTCGCGGGTGCACCCCAGCCACCCGGGGGTGTGGGCGCGGTACCGAACTGGTCCGGCGAAGAGACACCGCCGCCAAGGTTCGGTGTAGCAACAGGTGTGGATGAAGGCTGCTGATTGAACATACTCAAGGGGATGGGGAGATAAGGCGGCTCGAGATGTAGGTCAGGAGGAGTGGTCGCGCCCAAGATCACCAGATCCAGCGTCATGGACCTAGCCTTGCCGTACTGATCTGCAAAATTTGTCCACGCTTTTTATCTGTTAGCTCCGAACCGACAAAAGATGGGACGCGCACTTACTGTCAACCTCCTCCTGGTCCACAGGGTCAGTGCTGACAATGATGACCTTCCAGCGCGTCTGAATCGTATCCATGATATCCCTTGTTGCCTTCCATATTTCACCCCGTACCTCCGGGAGAGGCCGAGCTGTAACAGAATTACGATAGCGAAGGCAATATGACATGTTCCGTTGAAGTGCCCCAAAATTATCAGACCAAGCCACACTCAACCAACGTTGATCCAGACTTCGGGAACAAGCAATATGAAGATGCTTGCCTTCCTGCAGCGGCGACGAACCCTCCGATGACAGTTTGAAGCCAATAGATCTAGGAATAGGCTCTGCAAGCAACACCGGCGGTGCGCAATTCACCTGGCCCACATCGGACGATTTAGGCGGACATCGACTGTACACTTCGAGGGCCAGGTTCAAATATTCGGCCTGGGGAGGAACAACGAGAGATTCGGCCGAAGTGATAAAATCCATGGGGATTATCTGAAGAACCAGCTCGTTCAGCTGACGTGTCTGTTGCTTGTCAGCTTCCGCGATGTATTGCTGGAAAAGAGACCAGAATGCAGCGCAGATATCCACCAATGATGCGGCGTGAGTAAAAGGATTCACTATGTAAACTACAATGTTGCTATCCTTGCTTGGCGGAGTACTCAAAAACGCAGACCCTGTCTCAGTCAGAATAAGCAAATTCAACATTGTCGGATATGGCTTACCGAGCACTCCACAAATAGTCTTTAGTGACTGTATGACCTCGGAGTAACGTGGGTCTGCTGACGGACTGATGTTCCAGGAGCCCAGTCCACGGTCGAAGACATTGGAACTTTCGCCTCGACGATGCTCGCCAAGGTTGCAGCCCGAGTAGACCAGTCCAAGCCGCTCTAAGAATGTGTCGGCTGCTCGAGCAGCAAAATGAGGATGTATGCAATATGCGAGAATGTCCTTTTGCCCATGCGCAGGTTCCAGCCCGAAAGTCTCCCAAAAGGATATCGCCGGAGGTAGTGTCTCCAGGAAATCCTTCCCCCGACGCACGCGCAAGTGCGGTGGGGGTAATTTCACTATGGTGCCCTTTCCAGTCTCTCTACGTTGAGAGGACTGACGCGGATTGGCACCGTTGGATGACGAAGGCGAAAGCGCATTGGAATCTTGCAACGAAACAAAACTGTTCAAGTCCAGTCGCTCCATCCCACTCACCAAAGCTGCATCACCCTGAAGAGTCTCGAGAGGGCACACCTCATCAGCATAATCAAGCAGACCAAGGGTTCCATCTATCTTATGGTCCAGAGATGATTGCGTCACTTGGTCAACCAATAACTGAGCAATTTGAACCTGTATGTCCTTGCGAATAAGCACTGGCGAGACCTGGTTCTGTGCCAGGGAGAAATAGCCCGCCATTGACCAGTCAGAAAAGGTAGACAGGAAATTTCCAAGGAATACCGAGTCTTCCGGTCTCTGGGCTGTAGTTTCCTGACCAGTTCGGATAGTTGACTTGTCCTGGGATAAAGCTAACGAGGTTCCCGAATTGGAGCGAGTACGTTTCCTTTTTCTGGTTGAAAACGTGGCAGGCGAGAGGCCACTTTCAGAGGCACTCTCATCACTGTCGGCACTTACACTGCTGCTCATGTCCGAATCCGATGAAAATTCTTGCATCTCCTCACTATAAGGAGATCCGTAATTGTCGGGATCCTTTGACGTGCCGCTTTTCATCTTTCCGCTGTGACGTGGAAGGCCAACAGTTGGGATATCGCTTGTGACGGTGTCTGGCCCCTTGTTCCTTTCAATCCCACGAAGATTGAATCCAAACTTTCCATCAGCGCCGTATTTCTGGTCCCAGAGGGACATGTTTTGTTTGAAAGCAACTGCATTGTAGTAACCTGGCCCCTGCCCTTTCTTGGCAGGCCGTTGACTTTCAGGTTGCGACTCCGCGAACAGGATCTTCTTGACCTCCACCGGGCTCAAGGGAGGACTTATTGTTCGGGGTTTGTCCTCCTGAGGCGTTAATACAGGTGCCTTGGCCTCCTGGGGAGTTTTCTCGGGCTGCAGGTCTGCTGTAGCGGCCGCAGGACTCAACTGAGCACTTGCAATATTCATGGCTGGTGTCTGTTCAGGTGAAGCCTGGCCGTCCACAGTTGGTTGGATCTCGGGCTCATCGGTATCCATGAACCCAGACAATTCTTGAATTGCTTCAGCCTGTTCGCCAACACCTCCACGGTCGAAGTCTGGGTCGTCAAAGAAGCTGAAATCAGCATCGGTGATTCCTTTGGTGCCAAAGTCTTTCTCATTGATATCTCCGAATAAATCATCGTCGTCGTTCGTATCGTATAGGCCCGAACCAACCACAAGTCCTGCCGACGGGCCAAAGCTTATCACATCCGTTCCAGTTCTCTCTTTACTGAGTTGACGATGATGATTTTGCCTGTCCTGTTGCATAAAGGTCGAGCTTTGCTCAATGTCGTCCGCGAAGGCATCGGAAGTAACCATGGGATTTAGGCCTGTTGCGGCGGCCCCATCAGGCGGTGTTGGGTATACAAGACTAGCAGTTTGAAGGTCAGGATACTGCGACGCTCGAGAAAGGCTTTCGATCCCCTCGGGCAGGTTAAGTAGATCGGGAGATGATGCGTCCTGATCCCTAGTCGGCGCTTCTTGATGGACGGACGGAGGCTTAGGGCTCGCCTCGGCAAAGCTAAGTTTCTCTGTTACACGCCATTTCTCTGCGAAATCTAGAGGGTCACCAGCAATGGATGAGACACCTTCCATTTCACCATAGAACACTGAAGATGCTGATTTCGTTCTCCTGAAGCAGTAGATAGCTGGCCAAAGAATCCGCTTTAGGGGAAGCATGGAAGCGCCTTCCTCGCTGGGCCGCCAAACTTCCCCGGCGAGTCTAGAGTAAAATGGTTCCCAAACTTCAACTTCAACCCAAGCTTCATCATCGATGCCATCCACAGGAAGACCAAAATTGGAAAGCCACCAGAGCACATTGACCTTCCACTGTTTGCGAGTTGCCGGGCTGGACTTCTCATTCCCTGAGCCCCCAACATTAGACGGATACGGGGATCCTGCGTTCAGCTGGGGCGGATTAGCGGCGACAAGTCTGGCAATCGACCCACTTGGAGATAGCCA